GGCCCTGTCAAGGCATTAGGGATGAGTTAATTAAATGTTTGACCAAATATAGCAGGTTAATTTTTTAAATATATTTTTATTGATTTCAGAGATGAAGGGGAAAGAGAAAGAAATACCAATGATGAGAATCACTGATCAGCTGCCTTCTGCACGCCCCACACTAGGGTTGGAGCCTGCTATCTGGGCATGTGCCCTGACCGGGAATCGAACCGTGACCCCCCTGGTTCATAGGTCGACACTCAACCACTGAGCCACGCTGGCTGGGCCAGCAGGCAGATTTTTAAGTTGATAATTTTGTATGGCCCGCAAATGATGTTATAAATATACAAATGGCCCTCGGCAGAAAAAAGGATCCCCACCCCTGCTCTATATAGACACCAGAGTGGAATCCACCTTGCTTTCCCCCAGGTCTGCCAGAGACAGACGAGCAAGGCCTGTCACACCGATCCTGCAGAGGCTTCTGTCATGAGGATGAAAGAAAGCCAGGTCTCTCAGAGACGGAGTGAGCACCACTGCTCTGCTAGACAAGAGGGGACAAAAGCCTCCCAGTCCTGAGAGAGAAGGGGGACACCCATTCAATGTCTTCCTTTTGAAAGAAGAGAGAGAGAGAGAGAGAGAGAGAGAGAGAGAGAGAGAGAGAGAGAAACCTCAGGGTAGAGTGTGCTCACTATATAGAAAGAAGAGACACAACCACACCTGTATTTCTGAAGACCCACAGTTATACACATCCTACACACACCCCACTCACACATCAGATACTCTGAGTTTCTCCAGTAGGGGGCACCCAGGCCTAAAGAACCCTCTCAATCAGAGGAACTCCAAGGATGGTACCGCCAGTGTTTCTCACATAGCATCCAGATTCCTTTTAAAGGGAAAAAAATCTAGAAGAACCCCAAGCATGTATCTACAAAACCTCAATTGGAGAAAAAGAAAACGAAGGCTTATTCTATAAAAATATTCCAATTGCTTGTTAATACATGTTTAAAACTGTTAAAAAGATTTGTCATCATTAAAATAAAATGTGAATTAAAAAAAATTTCCCCAGAGCCCTGGCTGATGCTGTTTAGTGGTTAGAGCATTGCTCTGCACAGCGAAGGGTCTCAGGTTCAATGTGTCTCTCACATCGATGTCTCTCTCTCTCTCTCTCTCTCTCTCTCTCTCTCTCTCTCTCTCTCCTCTTTTGCTCTTCCTCTCTTCCTCTCTCCCTCCCTTCCAATAAATGGAAAGAATATCCTAGGGTGGTGATTTTTTAAAAATTTCCCCAGAATTAAAAGACCCCCAAGGACATAGCTGCAGACCCCTGGGATGGGACAGGGGATTGGGAAACTCTGACTTAAGATATTATCATGCAGCAGATGGTGTGACATGGTAATATCTTTCCACACACATGAGTAAAACAGTTTTCTCCTCTTTTTTTGTTTGTTTGTTGTTGTTAATCCTCACCCAAGGATATTTTTTTCATTGATTTTTGGAGAGAGTGGAAGGGAAGGAGGGAGGGGAGAGAGAGGCGTGGGGGGAGGGAGGATGGAAGGGAGGGGAGGTAGTGATTTGTTGTCCCACTTATTTATGCATTCATTGGTTAATTCTTGTACGTACCCTGACTGGGGATCAAACCTACAACCTTGGCGTATAGGAACGATGCTCTAACCAACTGAGCTACCCGGCCAGGGTTCTCCTTTTCTTTCCTCTGTTTCTCCTGGTTCAGCTGGTCCAGGGCTCTAGGCAACAAATGTAATCCCCTCCCCTTTTACTTTATTCCTTAATCCCTTTGATTTTTTCCCAGTAAAAATATTTTATGATTTTTATTGGAAATATTTTTTAAATCATTATTATGAAAGTAGAAAATACAGATTGGTTCATGTGAGGCCACCCCTCACCCTGAGGTATTTCTTTAAGGTGTGGTGGGCTTCCTTCTCGCCTCTTTGTTTTAAGTGTTTTCCAGTAAAGACCCAGCAGGGGCCAGTGCGGCCACACAGCACACACCTGCTACCGGGCACAGGGCCGCAGGCTGACCTGGGAGCTCTGTCTCACCTGTCGGAGGTGGAGCTCTGAACAGCTGGCCTGGGAGAGATCTTGCCCCAGTTTCTTACCGTCTTCTTTTCTAGAGACTCCCCTGAGACTAGCATGGGAGAGAGGTGCTCAGCCCGTCCCTGCCCGCTCTCTTCACCCTCTGCCCCACGGGCCCTGTGTTTCGGGGTTCAGAAGCATGGCCTGGGGCCAGGACAGATCCCTTTCCTGTCCGCCATCCAGCAGGCGCCTGAGGCTGGAAGGCATAGAAGGAGAATCCTGTGTTCCTTCCTGGCTCTGTGCCCACCAGGCTGTGCCCACTCTGCCTGGCACCAGCCTCCCCTGAAGAAAGTGGCAGTTGGCAGTGGTGGTTCTGTGCTTTCCGGAGGAGCCCCGGAGAATGGATGAGCTTGGAGGGTTTCTCCTCAAAGGCCCACCCTCTCCTCCACGCAGCCACACCTGCCTGCCTCTGACGGCTCTCTCGCCCTCGCTGGCTCCCTCCCCATCTCCCCTGATGCAGGGAGTCCAGTCTTAGGTAAAATACAAAGCAATACAACGGACAGATTTCTCTCTATTGCTACCCCATCAGAGGTATAAACGGCACCGACCGTGACGAACTTTGCAGGTCATATTTGGAATGGTGTGACTTAAAATACAGGCTAAGGGACCTACCCAAATTTTCTTTTGCAGGTCCTGGTTGTCCCTCAACCAGCTGGGCTGTCACCCTTCAGAGAAGCTGAAACTGAGACACAGTGAGAGATCTGTGTGACGAGTGTAAAGAGGACAGACACGCCTCCGATGGAAAGTCACACAGGCGTCCTGAGCTGCCTCTCCCCTGGGCACCCGGTGGTTCATTAACAGTGGTTAACGATTCTCCCAAGGAACGCCAGGCAGGCCAGCCGGCGAGTGTCCCTGTGGGTGCTGGAGAAATCTGGAAGGACACACACCTTGCAGTAACAGGGAGACTCTCTGGGGATTGCTCTGACTGGGACACTTTCATGTTCCCTATATTTACATTTTTCATAGTGGTGTGTTTAATCAGGAAAATGGGGATATTTCCATTTCTAAAAGGCATTTGGGAATATGGACACAAGGGCAGAGGTCCTGGTGAACTTTGTGGAGGTAACAGTTCGGAGCCGGCCTCTGCGGATGGGGAGGATTCAGGACGCTGTCCTCACTGCTCTAGGGGGTTGGGGGGAAGCTGCGCTCATGACCATGAGGACCCAGGGTCTGGGGAAAGGACCACAGTGCGGACACACACATTTAACTAAAACCATCGCTTGGATCCAGGATGCCAGCAGGTCCAGGCTGGACGGGGTAGGGGTCAGTGCGGTCAAGGCCATCCCAATCCCTGAGGTTTTTCTTGTCTCAGCGCAGCCCTGGGTCGGCAGTGAGGGAGCCAGAGGATGAAGATTGAGGAAGAGCCTCCATGGTTGGGGCCTGGACACCTCACTGCCCGCCTCCCTCATGCTCCAGGCCCAAGGCCCACTGATCTGTGACCCCAGGGCTCACATCACCCCTGTAGAGGCCTCCTCTCCCTTCCCCAAGCCAGGTAGCCAATGGGAGGCCTGGGCCAGTAAGACAGGAATGCTATGGGGTGGGAAGCAGGGGAGGAGGAGGAAAGGGTAGAAAGACAGGAAGAGGTAGCTACACAGAGAGAGACAGCCAGAGGGACACAGAGAGACTCAGAAACACACTGAGGGACACACACAAAAAGGTCATTAGAGAGACAGAAAGGGGGACAGAATGAAGGGGAGAGAGACAAAGGGACAGCGAGAGAGGCAGAGAGAAATTAAGGGCAGGACCCACGTTCCACTCACTGGCTTCCTAGGACCAGACAGGGCCACGAGGACAGGCCAGGGGGTGGACAGGGAAGACAGAGCTAGAGACAGGGTCTGAGTGCCAACATCACAAAGAACGAGCATCCGCTGTCCCTTGCTGCATGTTTAGCGCCACACTGCATGCTGCAGAGAACAAAATGCAGGTCCAGGTCCCCACACTAGGGAAAATTCCTCAGAGGCCGAGGCGGCCTTTCCCAGGGCCAGGCGGTTGATCGAGGCCCCCACAGCTGAGATCACCAGGGGTGGCTTAGCAACAGGGCTGCATTTGAGCTGCCTCTTGAAGAGCAGGTGGGAAGAAGGGGCACGGGTGTTCAGTGGAGGTGGGAAGACACACATGGGTACAGTTAGGAGGGCCTTGGATGCCAAGCCAAGGAGGCTGAGGGAGCCGCGGTCACAAGGGGGAGTGAGTAGTGGAAGCCGTGCGTTGGGGAAACCCGGCCCGGAGAGCAGCAGAATATAGGGGAGCGGAGTTACCCCTGACCCTCCAGCCTCACTCCTGACGCCCACTGTCTGCCACTACCTTCCAGCAACCCCACACCCGGCCACACCGGACTGCTTCTCGCCTCCGTGCCGTGGCCCATGCGTTCCTCTGCCTGGAAGGCCCTCCCTGTCCAAAGCCTTTCATTGGCAAACGCTGAAACGTGGCTTAAACTCTTCTCCAGGGTTTTCTATTCCAGGAAACCTTCAGGCAAGAGGAGGCACCCTCCCGGCACAAAAGCCAACACGAACGCTCCCCCGGCTCAGCTGAATCAAATCATGTTTTTGACCGAGACCAGAAACCATCATGGGCTCCATCTGTGCCTTGGCCTGACCACACCCAGAATTTGCCTGACCTCACCGGACACCCTGCCAGCTGTCGGGCATCAGTATCCACACCCTGAAGAGAGGAGGGGACGGGCAGGGGAGGGATGGGGTGACAGGGCAGGGCACATTTGCCTAGAGGTGCTTTGGGCCGGCTGGTCACAGAGCAGTGACTCGCTCCCCAGAGAGGAGGGGAGCGAGCGGCACCGGGGACATTCACTGGGCATCCGAGCCTTCGTGGAGAGCTGGAGGTTCTTGGAAGAGAAGAACCTCTTGGGGATCGGACTCACCCCCAGCACGGGCCAGGAAGGCGGCCGAGGCCTCACTGCCCGCACCCACCAGGCGGGAGCCATGGATAAGTTCCGCATGCTCTTCCAGCACTTCCAGTCCAGCTCCGAGTCGGTGATGAACGGCGTCTGCCTGGTGCTGGCCGTGGTCACTGTCAAGCTGTACTCCTCCTTCGACTTCAACTGCCCCTGCCTGGCGCGCTACAACACCCTCTACGGCCTGGGCCTTCTGTTCACACCCCCGCTCGTCCTTTTCCTCTGCGGCCTCCTTGCCAACCGGCAGTCCGTGGTGATGGTTGAGGAGTGGCGCCGGCCCGCGGGGCACCGGAGGAAGGACCCAGGCATCATCAGGTGTGCAGTCCCATACCACCCAGAGGCCTGTGGGCATTGTCAGGCCCCGCCCACGCCTGCACAGGCACTGCCAGGACACCCCGAACTCTGACTTTCCCCCATGGGCATTCTCAGGCTCCCCATTGGCACAGAAATTGTCAGGGACACCCCCAAACCTTACCCTTCCCCCATGGGCATTATCAGGCTCCCCACCCACACAAACACTGCTAGGTGACCCCCAAACCCCAATCACCCCCATGGGTGTTGTCAGGGCCCCTCACCTGCCCCCCCCTCCAGGTACTCTCACATGTACCCCCTTCTTTCCCCAACGAAAGCATCATCAGCTCACCAGACCCATTTGCAGTTTCCACTCTGGAAATAGACATTTCTGTTCCTGTCATTTGTCTCCCTTCTGTGACCAGTGCTAGAGACACATGAAGGATACAGAATTCCCCATAATTTCCCAGGTCACATCTATCACACTGCCATGGATCATAATACCTCACCACATGTGTGAAGAGCCATCCCCTGACATGCATAGGGGCTTTGCCTGTAGTGAGAGGCATGCGTGGCTTAAAGGCTGCCTCCCTCTCCCATACACTCCCCAGGGCAGCTCTACTGTCCTTAGAGCCTCCCACCTGGTGGGTGCCCTCTGTCAAAACCAGTTGATGGAGTTTAGCAATTTGAATTGCTCCCTGGTCAACACTACACATCGCCTTGGTGCCAAGCCCTGTGTGTGCACGGCCTCTGGAGTCTCCCTCGGCCCTGGGTCTGCTCCTGTTAGGCTCCGTGTCTAAGGATGAGGGACCTGAGGCACAGAGAAGTTTAGTAACTCAGCTGAGCTCCCACGGGTAGGAAGAAGCACAGCTCACTCCGCTGCCTGCGTGTTTTCAACAAAACATCTAAATGCTCCAGACCCATGGGCTCTAGACCCAGGAGGAGCTTGGTGAGTTTTCGCCCACTCATGATCTCCTCTCGGCCCTATGCTTTGGCATGGACCATTGAGGTGTCCTCAAGGGTATGTAAGGCAATGTCATGAGGAGCCCTCAGTTCCTCCTTCTGACTACACTGCCCCCGACGAAAATGCTGGAGCTGCCCCTGCCTACAGCGTATTTATAATTCTCTGCTGGGCAGGCCATGCACACACACAGCATACATCATTTTATGTTTGTTACAGTGCAAGTTAGAGACATCTGCATCCTGTGCACAAGCAGCCACTATTTCGTGTTCCTCGGGGGCTCTGGGCTCCCTGTCATCCAGCCACACAGGGAGGGTCACATACACTGGGCGTGCCCGTGACCTTTTCCTCTGGGAGTCAGTGGTTGCAGCTCCACTAGGCTCCCATCCTGGGACCAACACCCCATGCAGGCCAGAGAGGAGCGAGTGGGTCAGGAGAGACACCTGGACAGTCAGAGCGTGGGCTCCCTGGATGCTAGGAGAGGCGTTGGAGGCGCTACGTCTGGGAGGGACATTGGGCAGGGCTGTCTGAGTTTAGGCTTCCCTGGAAAGCGGGCTCTGGGAAGAATGTGATAATGAATGGGCAACTGGAGTTCAGCCCTACTGGGGACCCTCTAAGAGAGTGTGTAGGACACACCGCAGAAATGGCGCACTGAGGGTCTAGGCCAGTGATGGCGAACCTTTTGAGCTCGGCGTGTCAGCACTTTGAAAAACCCTAACTTAACTCTATGTGCCGTGTCACATATAGAAATGTTTTGATATTTGCAACCATAGTAAAACAAAGACTTATATTTTTGATATTTATTTTATATAGTTAAATGCCATTTAACAAAGAAAAATCAACCAAAGAAATGAGTTCATAGGTTCGCCATCACTGGTCTAGGAAAATGGGGCGTTTATCCACCAGGCCCCATCCCTCTTGGGTTGAAGGTTGAATTGGGGGTTGTGAACTTTCTATCGCTTGCAGCCTAGCCCTCAGGGAGAGCCATGCAAGTGGTTGAGGTGGCTGAGCGGAGGCCCTCTGGCCTCCATGTGAATAGCAACTATCCTCCAGCAGAGTCTGCTACCAGGCCTAGAGCAGGAAGAGCCCCAGCTCCCAGTGTTGCAGTCCTGGGACTCCCAGGGCCCCCAGACCTCCCTCCTCCTTGCCCTCTGCCACTGGCACCCCTGCAGTGGAAGCTGCAGCCATTCCTTTGGTGTAACTACAACTAGTATTTTCCAGCCCTCCTTCGAAGTCCATCTTTGCATCTCCTGTAGCCTTCCTGCTTCAGCTGAATTCCAGCTGCCCTTTGTGACCACCCCCCCTTTCCTCTGTTCCCAGGTACATGTGCTCCTCTGTGTTGCAGAGAGCGCTGGCCGCCCCCCTTCTCTGGATCCTGCTGGCCCTCCTTGATGGGAAGTGCTTCGTGTGTGCCTTCAGCAGCTCTGTGGACCCTGAGAAGTTTCTGGACTTTGCCAACATGACTGCCAGTCAGGTTCAGCTCTTCCTGGCCAAGGTGCCCTGCAAGGAGGATGAGCTGGTCAGGGACAGTCCTGCTCGAAAAGCAGTGTCTCGCTACCTGCGGTGCCTGTCACAGGTAATGTGGACGGTCCTCTCCCGAGAAGCCTCCCATTATCCTGCGTGGGTTCTGAGGGGTGAGGAGGTACAGGTGACGGCCTGAAGCCCCTCCCTTCTGCTGGAGACACAAGCAAGGAGCAGGTGGTCCCCAGGGAGATCAGGAGCTTGACTCATGTACAGAACAGTGTTGGGCCCTAGGAAGTGGGCACTTGGTCATCAATGCTGACTCACCCCAGGACAGAGACCAGGTACCCATATCCTCCGGGAGTCAGCTAGGCCCGTCCTCAGGGGGCTGGATGGCAGAAAGCACTGGGGATAGACTGCTCTGTCCACCCCACACACACATTCTTCCCATCCCTCAGAAATAATACGAATTACCTTCTATTGAGCACTTGCATCAGGCACTGTGTTAAGCATTTCATATGCATTCTTTCATTCAATTCTCAGAACAACCCCATGAGGTGGATGCAGCCACTATCATCCCATTTCACAGATGAGGAAGTGGAGGCTCTGAGAGTTTAGCTCACTAGGCCAAAGTCACACCGCTTGGAAGAGGCAGGACAGGGATCTGAATGCACATTATAACTCCTGACCCTCTTAACCACCTCCATACAATGCAGGTTCTCCCTAGGTGCCTGGGTCCCCACAGGGTATCAACTCCAGTATCCTGGGAACAAACCCCAGCCCAGACTCTAGAGCAGGGGTGGGCAAACTTTTTGACTCGAGGGCCACAATGGGTTCTTAAACTGGACCGGAGGGCCGGAACAAAAGCGTGGATGGAGTGTTTGTGTGAACTAATATAAATTCAAAGTAAACATCATTACATAAAAGGATACGGTCTTTTTTTTCAATAGTTTTATTCATTTCAAACAGGCTGGATCCGTGGTCCGTAGTTTGCCCACGGCTGCTCTAGAGTCTACCACCTCCACTCCCAGAGCCTCAGGCTCAGCTGTGTCCTCCAAAAAGTATTTACCTGAACCTATAGATGCCCAGTATCCCTGGGGCCACAGAGAATAAAAACATGACCCCAGCCCTCTGTGGAGCTGAGACCGCTGGTGGCAGATGCAGGCCCGTGGGGCAGGGCAGAGAGGACCAGTGCTCAGGATGCACTGATACTGCTTCAGGCTGTGGCCTTGGCCCTGTCACTCTCCCTCTGGGCCTCAGTTTCTCCTGCGAAATCAAGGGAAGTTTGGTCTCCTTCACTTGATGGTCCCTGCAGGCTGACACACTCTAGGCTTCACCAGCTCCTTGGAAAGAGTGTAGAATTTTCCATGAGACCAGGGTTGGAGTCCTTACTCCGCCGCTGTACGTTTATCAGGCACATTAAATGCTCCTAGAATGTAAAATGCTCACACAAGTATTTTAAACTGGTAAGCGGGGAGGGTTCTGTGAGAGGCCAAGAGCGGGATTGTAAATCACATCTACACATGATAAGAATTCAGATATGTCTTTGTGTGAGAGGAGTGAGTTTTCGGTTCCAGGTCCACACAGTTGCTCTGGTTTTAACCGAGGCCTTGAAGAGACTGTCGCTATGGAGGGGCAGAGAGGAGGGCGACGCTCCAGCCTTAGAGAACTGCCTCTAATGGTTTCTCACTCTTGGCCTGGAACACTGTTCCCTGTTTGTATCCTGCCCAACTGTTACTAATCCTTCGGGTCTCAGCCTAAACCTCACTGATCCCTGAGCCCTCCAGTTCAGGTTGGCCAAGTCCCCATGACTCCCTGTACATCCCTTAACGTGGCACATAGCCAGTCATCGCCTCTTAGTTGTTTCCTCCACTTAAGTGTGAGCTCTCTGAGAGAAAAGACTGGGTCCCCAGTGCTTCCCCCAAGATATAGAATAGGTGGATGCATAGACAGGGTGGATAAATATATGTGAGGATGGATGGAGCACCGAATAAAAAATGAAAGGATGATGGATGGATGGATGGATGGATGGAGTGTAGGGAAGGCAAAACTTTACTTCTTCCCACCTTAGGTTTTCAGCTGAGATGCTAACAAAAAAAATTAACAAAAGGAAACCAGTTTATTAACATGTGCAGTGGACACCACGCAGGAGAAACCTAAACCAAAGAGTAACTCAGAGTGGTGGCTTAGAATTCTGGCTTATATAGCATCTTCAGCAAAGAGCAGTATCTTTGTAGAGAAATGACAGGACAAAGGAAAGCGGTTTTAGGCTCCCAAGGGCAGAAACTGTGGGAAGGTAAATACATGAGAGGAAGCATGGAAGTTTCTTACTCCTTAATAGAGTAAGGTTTGTTCGCACGTTCCTCTGGTGCTGCCTCTGGGCTGATAAGAGGCTGTCTCCAGTAAAAGGAGAATTTATTTCTTGCCTTTAGGCAGAAAGGGAGAAGGTAGAAAGAGCTTCTCCTATGTTTACTGCTTCTTAATTTTCTTCAGCTCAAAATAATTTTATGTCCAAGAGGCCTACTTTAGAGTGATCTATTCTGATTTCCAGAAGAAAAGTTGGGAGGATGAATGGTGGGTACAGGAATGGTTAGGATAGGCAAATTGAAGGAAGGATGAGAGTATCAGAACGTGAATGGATGGGAGAATAGGTGACTGGATAGGAAGATGGATGATGGACAGGTGGAAAGATGGTTGAGAGGATGTCTGGATAGGAAATATAATAGATATGTAGTCATATGGGAGGATGGATGACTGGATGGATAGGGGGAGAGATAGCTGGGGAAATGAATGGATGCAAGGATGAGATGGTATTGAAGGGAGGATGAATGGAGGTTGTTGGTTGGATGGATGACTAAATAGGAAGCTAAATATATCTGAGGAAGGATGGAAGAGATAAAGGAAGAGACTGGAACACCTGTGCCTGCCACCCCATTCAGCGCTGTGCCCCGCCCACACCTAACCTCATTGTCTCCCCCGTCCCCAGGCCATTGGCTGGAGCATCACCCTGCTACTGATCGTGGCGGCCTTCCTGGCCCGCTGCCTGAGGCCCTGCTTCGACCAGACGGTCTTCCTGCAGCGCAGGTACTGGAGCAACTACATGGACCTGGAGCAGAAGCTCTTCGACGAGACGTGCTGTGAGCATGCGCGGGACTTCGCACACCGCTGCGTGCTGCACTTCTTCGCCAGCATGCAGAGCGAGATGCGGGCGCGGGGGCTGGGGCGGGACCCCGAGCCCCCCGAGACGTCAGAGCCCCCGGAGGGCATGGACGGCGAAAGTGGGAAGGCCCACCTGCGCGCAGTCTCCAGCCGGGAGCAGGTGAACCATCTCCTGAGCACCTGGTACTCACGGAAACCGCCTCTGGACCTGGCGGCACCCCCCGGCCTCGGGGGGCGTGGCCTCAGCCACCGCGCTGCCCCGGCGGAGCCCGGGACCAGGCTGTCCCAGCACACCAACGTGTAGCCTGCCCTCCCGGCGCGCACGGTCCCCACGGGTAGCGGCGGCGCTGACCAGGCTGTGGGAACCCGAGGCAGGGCAGCCTAACCCTTGTTGGCCCCCTTCCACGAAATGTTGAATTTCGTGCCAAAAAAGAGCATTTGCGGGAAGTTTTAATTCATTACTATTTTGAAGAAAAGTGCTAGCGATGGACATTACTTTGAATAAAGCACTTTTGATGTTTTTCTTTAAATTATCGTGATTTCTTTGATTACAAAAGCCGCATTATTAGCCGGTTATGGTTATCCCGCATTATTAACACGTTAAGCGCCCAGCCTGCTTTGTCTTCCGGGCGGGAAGTACAGTGTCAGTCAAGCGCGTAACATGTTAACCGGTACGGATCAGCTGCCTCCTGGACACCCCCCTACTGGGGATGTGCCGGCAACCAAGGTACATGCCCTTGACCTGAATCGAACCTGGGACCTTTGAGTCCACAGGCCAACGCTCTATCCACTGAGCCAAACCGGTTAGGGCTAATCCGCATTATTAACCGGTATCCGCACTATTAACTGGTTAACGCTTAATCTGCACTAATAACTGGTTAATAATGCGGATTAATCATTAACCGGTTAATAATGTGGATTTTATGATCAAAGAAAACACGATAATTTCAAGAGAAACATCAAAAGTGCTTTATTCAAAGTAATGTCCATCGCTAGCACTTTTTTTCAAGATAATGAGTTAAAACTTCCCGCAGGACGCCGTCTCTGCTGCAAAAGTTGAAAGAACCTGTTGCTCATCACAGTGGCGGTTAGGCAGGGCTCAGCCCCGCGCCGGCGCTGGCTGCCTGCACTCCGGGCTCTCGGGGGCCGCGAAGGGCGGCGGCGCGATGCAGCCCGTGGTCGCGGTCGAGGCGCCAGAGCCCGAGCTGGAGTGGGAGAGGGTCCCGAGCCCTGCGCTCGCCGCCGCCCGCCGTGACGTCATCGCCCTCGAGCGCGAGCACGTGCGCGCGCACCTGCGGCCCCGGAGGCTGCAGGAGGTGGAGCGCCTGCTGCACGCGGTCCACAGCGAGGAGGCGGCCTCGGCGGAGAGCGCCCTGGACCTGGCGCGCAGCCCCGGCGCCGAGGCAGGGGAGCGGGTGGGGAAGCTGTGCGAGAAGGTGGAGAAGAAGGCGGTGGAGGCCGCGCTGGTGGGGAAGCGCACCGTGGAGACCCACCAGCAGATCGGCAGCCACGAGTGTCGCTGAAGGGCGCGGGGGCAGGAAATATTTGCAGAATGTGGACCAGCCCCGTCACGAGGCTGAAAACCCAGGTCACAAGGCAAGAAAAAAAAGGAGACGTCAGAGAAGTGGGAAACGGAAGTCAGATGGAAACTTGTAACTGATCGGCGGATAAGATGAGGGACTCCGCCACCGGGCAGGCTGAGCCTCTGAGCTTCCCGGCCTGCAGCTCTGACTCTATGGCCTCGGGGGAGAGCGCGGGAGGCACCGCGCCGCCCACCGCCAGCCCGAACCGGAACCGAGCCAGAGGCAGGGGGGAGCCCTGGGATACGGGTTAATAATGCGGATACCGGTTAATAATGAGGATTAATCATTAACCGGTTAATAGTGCGGGATAATCATAACCGGTTAATGCGGATTTTGTAATCAAACACAATAATTTCTTTTTTTTTTAAAATATATTTTATTGATTTTTTACAGAGAGGAAGGGAGAGAGATAGAGAGCCAGAAACATCGATGAGAGAAACATCGATCAGCTGCCTCCTGCACATCTCCCACTGGGGATATGCCCGCAACCCAGGTACATGCCCTTGACTGGAATCGAACACGGGACCTTTCAGTCCGCAGGCCGACGCTCTATCCACCGAGCCAAACCGGCTTCGGCCAAACACAATAATTTCAAGAAAAACATCAAAAGTGCTTTATTCAAAGCATAGACAGCCCTGTACCAGGGAATAAGGAAGAGAGAATACACAGATGATAAAGCCCCACCAATTCTGTTTCTAGCAGACCAAGGCTGAGCCCCCTTCAAGGTGCACCCCATTTTGAGATGCAGCTCCTTTCTCGGCCCAGCTTTTCTGCCCACCTTCAGTTAGCAGGTGCTTCCTCCCTCACCTTTCCACTCACCATCTTCCCCCCTCCCCTCCCACCCTCCCCTGACCTGCGGCCTGACACCTGAGCTCAGCATCTCTGTGTAAGGCTGCCTCCTTCCTCAGGTATCTTCAGGGCTATCTTACCACGGCCCTCAGCAAGAAGCTGGCACCCTGGTGAGGATTTCCCCTGGTGTGTGGTGTGAGGACCAGATCGGCAAACCAGGGTGGGGGCAGACCTAGACATCTCCACGTTGAACAAGAAGATTTTGTAAGTTCCAGTGTTTAAGAAACTCTGGGCCAACTGTGGGTGTGGGGTCTGGCTACGGGATGAAAACCCTTGAAACACCAGAGTTCGATCTTGCTGGGGGGGGGGGGGAAAAAATACTGCCACTCAATGTCTGGTGGCCCAAACAGGAAGGATTGGGGAAGATCTAGCCTGTGAGCTCCTCCCTAATGACTCACTCATAGCACACACACACACACACACTCACATCCCACTGTTGCCTTCATTAGCACAAATGGTGCAGACCCGTGCTTTTCTAGTCATCAGGCCTAGGAGTAGTCCAGGGGTCCCAGGATGTCTCCCGAGAGCCCAGCCCCCTCCATATCAAGATAGTTATACCTGCTCTCCTGACCTCTTGCCAAGGGACCTTGTAGGACCAGGCAATCCCTGCAGTTCAGCCTCCCCCCACCTACCCTGCTGTGGTTAGGCCATGCAAATATCAGAAATGGCACTGAGGTGGGGCAAGATTTAGGCAAAGTGTTAGCAGGGATTGGGTCAGGAGGGGGTGGGGAAAGCTTGGAAATGGCCCAGTCATGGCTGGTGAGATCCCAGCCTGGGGAAAGGAGGCTCAGGGACCTCACTTTGGGCTGCAAGGACGCAGCATCTGGACCAGTAAAAAGCCACTGACTGTCATCAATACTCTTGCCTTCTAATACTGAGCACTTACAGAGCACCGACTGCATAGACAACCCTGTACCAGGGAATAAGGAAGAGAGAACACACAGACGATAAAGCCCGCTGTCTAATGGAGAGACAGTCAGTGATGGATACAGGAATCATTATAATCAGCAGCAAAAGGTGTAAGTGATATGATAGACTAGAGGCAAGTCAGGTGCCATGGGGATTGAGCATGTAGAATAACGCTCCAAGCCGGGCGACTGGCTGCATTTGAATGGGTCTTGAAGGATGGGGAGGGTTTGGACAAGGAGAGAGAGACGTGGGGGTGGGGCAGAGCACCTCAAGGGAAGAAACAGCAAGAACAAAGGCAAAGAGTTGGGGAAGAGGTCGCACATGTTTCATTTATTCTTTCAGCAAATAATGATGGAATGCCTAGTGTCCGAGAGCAGGACAGACATGGGCCTATCTTAATGGAGCTTCCAGTCTGGAAGGGAAGATAGGACATGAGCTAGTGAAAAAAACAGCTAATTGCCCTAACCGGTTTGGCTCAGTGGATAGAGCATCAGCCTGCGGACTCAAGGGTCCCAGGTTCGATTCCGGTCAAGGGCATGTACCTTGGTTGTGGGCACATCCCCAGTAGGGAGTGTGCAGGAGGCAGCTGATCGATGTTTCTCTCTCATCGATGTTTCTAACTCTCTATCCCTCTCCCTTCCTCTCTGTAAAAAAAAAATCAATAAAATATATTTAAAAAAAGAAAAAAACGGCTAGTGAAAGGGTGTGCAATCCAGCCTGGCTAAAGTGAGGACCTTGGCTGGAGAACTGAGGAGCCCACTCCACATGAAGTGCACCAAGAGGACCAGGGACGCATTCTTGGGATCCTCTGCCATGGATGGTCCTCAATGCATCCCCACCCTTTTTAGCCCCCAAACACGATATGGTTTCAAACCCCAAATCTTAGCCAATGTCCGTCCACACCATCATTTGTTCACATCCTGTGAGAAAGAGATGCCTGGGGCAGCGTGTGCCACCTCACCTGGGAGAGAGGGACACAGGTGGGAGGCTTCCACCTGCACCTGAAGACCCTCCCTCCCAGGGGAGCAGCCATCGGGGTGCCTAAGTTCATTCCCCAAGCCTCGCCGCGCTCTGGGTGATGGCCCTCCTGTGCCTGCCCTGTACATAGAGCCTCTCTTGTAGGAGACACAGTGGCCAGCGGGCAAGGCAGACATGTACTAGCCATGAGGCGTGGCTTGTCTAAATCCCCCATGTTGCCCATGCAGCCTGGGCAGCTCAGTTCTGCGTGAGGAGGCAAGGATGGTGGGAGACATGGAAGTTTGGACCTTGACTTCATTCTGCAGGAAGTCAGTGATGAGAAAGTGCTTGCAGGCAAGCTCAGGAGGAGGGCTGAAACTTGTGGTTCACCCACATGGCTGGGATGCCTGAGCTGCAGGAATGGAAAGCATGAGAGAGGCTTGAGTGAGGAGAGGAAGGGCCAAGACCTGCAGAGTTATGGGTGCTCCTCCAGCCGATGGTAGAGAGCAGCCCCCACTTGAGCACCACACACTCGTGCTCTCCTACGCAAATGGGACATTTTCCTAAAGGCCCAGCACCCGCTCCCCAGCGGCCCCTTTGCATGCTGCTTTTCATGATACTTAACTCCTCCAGCACTAAGGTGGGGGCCAGGACAGGAGGCAAAGGGCCCAGTGCACGTCCCACCCTCATCCTGCTCTCCCTCTGGGGGTCCCCCCCTGGGGAACCCCCGGCAAGGGTCCTCCAGAGGCCACCATCCTAGAGGCCCCATTTGCCGCAGGCCCAGCCAGAGGGCTGAAAAGAGCACTATCCTTCTGCACCCGCATCATGTTTGTGACACGACCTTTTCCACCTGGACCAGTGGGCCAGGAGAACTGATGCAGCTGGAAGAGAAAGGCCAGAAAACACTTTTCCGCCCCCTCTCCCACCGCCACGCCCACCTAGCCTGGGCTCAAATCCCACTCCTCCACCTACACGCTGGGTACACTTTAGCTAGTAACTTAATCTCCCTGAGCCTCAGTCCCCACCTTGGTAAAATGGGGACAATAGCACCTGTTCCGTAGGGTTCTATGAGCATTTCACGAGGCGATACCTGTAACGGGCTGACACAGGGAAAGCTCAGTCAATGCAAGTTCTTGTTGGTCACACAGACACGCACAGACCACTAATGTGGTTACATGCACACATGCAGATGCACAGATCCCGAGGCCCAAAGGCACCGAGAGCACCCACAGGGATGCACAGAGCTACCCTGTCCAGCCTCTTGCTCTGTGTCAGTCCCGGCCCCACCCTCTCACCCCAGACAGGAGCCATCTGGTTGGAGCTGGGTCTGACCTGCTCTTCTGGGAGAACTGGTGGGCATCAAAGGGAGCCCTTTAAACTCCTCCCCACTTTGATAGGAGGGGCCTTGGCTTGGTTCCCACAGACGCTTGAGGGCCCGAGCTCAGGCATGAAAACCTACCCCCCACCCCTTTATCTTTTAATCTGGGGGAGTAGAAGTAGGAGGCGGGGCCAGGAAAGGATTTTTCATCCATAATCTACAAACACGGACACCCACAGAGACATAAGAAAACCAGACATAAAAGCACCTGCATTGCGCTCACAGGCTATCGCTCCCTGCCCAGTAGGGAGGAGACCCAGCAACCTCAGATTTAAATCCTCTGGCTCCAAATTCAGGGCTTTTTACTCTACGCCATGCTGCGCGTTAGCACTGTCTCCATTACTAGAGCTTTCCTCCCGCTGTGACCAAAATCACTACTGCCATCATTATCATTACTGCTATCACACCACCACCATCGTCACCGCCATCACCACCTTCACCTCCATCAGCACCATCCCCAACACCAACACTGCCTTCCCCAGCACCACCATGATCACCCCCCTTACAGCCACCACTACAATTGCCCTGCATCATGATGCCATCATTGTCTGAACGGATGGGGGACCCTGGCATAGCATAGAGGAAAGACCCAATGGAAGGGCCGAAGGAGGGTGACATGCTTCCTTGGAGCCCAGGGGACATGGTTCAGAAGCTCATACCTCTGCAGCAGCCCTGGATTGTCCCAAACTCCAACCCTGCAGGAGACAGTGTCTTCCCAACCTGTCTGCACTCCTGGCCCTCCTCCCACACCCATAGAGAACTGGTCCCCATCAGGTGTGGCCCTGGTGGTTTCCCTGTGCCGGAGGTGGCTGTGGAGAGAGAGCCCGGAGGGGAGGGGCAGAATCCT